ATTTTTTAAATATAAATTAATGATAAAAATTTATAATAAATACATCTTTTAATTAAAAAAAAAAACTCACAAATAAAGTACCTAAGTTTTACATGAACTCAGAAAAAGATACATAAAAACGAACTTTTATATTTGATGAGGCCAAAATGAAAAAAAAAAAAAAAAGAAAAGAAAAGAAAAGGGTTTTTCTTAAGGCACATGTTAAAAAACTACCAAAAAAAATAAAAATGTAACATTCAATTTAACATCTAATCAATTAAATTTATCTATATAATATTAACACTAAATTAATATTTATTTTTATATTTTTCTATACATTTATTAAAAAAAAAAAAAAAACTTAACTTCTGCCTCAGGGCACTGTGTTAGAAAAATCCAAAAGAAAAAAAGAAGAAGACATTTATTTTTGGAGCAGTTGAAAACAAGAAGTTAAATATGTCGCGGAAAAGAAGGGAACCAGTTCACTGGACCCCACCAAACCGGAAGCCGTCTGAACGATCCTTTGGGTTTTAAAAAATCTGTGGGTCCCACCTCCGACGCCTCCCCCACACCCAAAGATCAAATTGGGAACTCTAACCTGACACTTTGTTTGATGGTCAACGGTCCTACCCGCACATTTAGGACAGGTACTTTTTCGTAATTTTGGTTTTTGGAAATTGGAGTAAAGGAAATTGCTTCTTTCTCATTCGACAATTTTATCTTTGACGTTCTGGAACACGCGTTGAATCCCACTTAGTGGCTTTTTCCTCTTTAATTATTGGAAGGCTCAATTAAATTTTTATTTTTTAAAACATAATATTTGGGGTATTTGATAAAGCCTAAAAGGTATTTATTTTAAAATGTAAATTTTTTTTCATAAATTTAAAATATTGTAAGAAAAAAATTTTAAAAATTAACTTTTAAATGTGTTTTTAAGTAAATTAATTTAGAAAAATTACACATTCAAACTTTTCTCAAACTTAATTAAAACTACATTTAAGATCCAACTTTTGTCCTTCTTTCCAAAGAAATTTCAAAGTTTTAAAAGAAAATTTTACTTTTTAAACAAGTATTTTTAAAATTTTACCAAACATCCTCGTTATCACTTGGCAAAAAATTTTGGAAAGAAAGGGTTCCATTTTCATCACAAACTTTAAATTTTCAAAAACAAAAAATTAAAACAAAAAAAATTATTTTTTTAGTTTTCAAAACATTATGGTCTTTTTGGTACATATATCTTTTTTAAAATTTAAAAATAATTTTATTATTAAAAGTACAAGAAATACTGCAATCATTTACCTTACTTCTTGGTACACTAAGCCGATTTAATGTGAAGTTATATATACCATGTAAAGGTTATATCATGTCCCATTAATATGACATGCTAGATTATGCCATGTAGAATATATAAAAAAAAATTATACCATGTAAATTTTTTTTATATTACAGTATGTTTGAATCGAGAGAAATTAAGGAAAAGAGATGAGGGGAGGAAAGAAATCTTTTGCTTTATTTTTTTAAATTCATTTACTTATCCAAATGGAAAGAGGGGAGTGGAAAGATCCTTTTCCTCCCCGTCCTTCTATTCTTGTCAACTCAAACATACTGTTAGGTAAATACCACTTCATATCAATAGTGTAAGCTCTCATTAAAAAAATAAGGATAATGATAGGTTTACCCTCATTATCCACGCACTCCGTTACACCCTTCCATTTCCGTTAATTACACCTTAACTGCGTTACTATCTTCCCTTTCTCCTACTTGCTGTTTACCTTTCTCACCAACTAGACCAAAACCTACAATTTCATCTTGGTTCTTTGATTTTCAACCTTCTTTTCCCTCCTCCTTTCTTTTTCTTCTTCTTTCCCTCTCCTCCCCTCTTTTTCCTTCTCCCAAATCTGGGTTCTCCACAAGAACCCACAGGTTCTCCTGGAGGGGTTCTCCAAGAGAACCCCGTGGGTTCATGGAAAGATAACCCAGATCTGGGTTCTCTTGGAGAACCTAGAGCCTAGATCTAGATTCTCCATAAGAACCCACGGGTTCTCTTGGAGGAGGATGATGGAGGAGGGAGAGAGAGAGAGAGAGAAAAAAAAAAAAGAGGAAGAAAGAAAGAGGAAGAAAGAAAGAGGAAGAAGATAATGGATGAAGAGGATGAGAATGGAGGCGAGGATGGATCTCGTTGGTGAGGACGGTAAACAGCAAGGATGAGAAAGGAAAGATGATAACGGAATTAAGGTGTAATTAATGGAAAGTAACGGAAATTGAAATGTGTAACAGAGTGTGTGGATAATGAGGATAAGCCTATCATTATCCAAAAAATAATCAACATAACAATTATTTTAGAATAGATCCTTTATTTAGAATAACGGATTTTTTAATTTTATCTTTGAATTAATAATTTAGGAACAATTTTTATTTTTACATATTTTATCCTTAAAAAAAGAAATAAAAAAATATTTTTAATAATATGATGAATAATTAAAGTTAAAGATAATTATAAAATTAAGTTAGGAAAAAAATAATTGTATTCCTTAAAATATGAAAAAATGATTATTATTTTAGAACAAATTTTAAATAAAAAATATTTATTATTTTGTCACAGGGGGTTATATACTTCTTCACTAAAAGAATTCTATAACCTCAAGAGTTGGATCCAGTAGTAATTATTATCTTGTAGATTAGGTTTAGATTTAAATATTAGGATTAGCATTCAAGGAAATTAATTTTCTTAGCTGCTTCAAGTTGATATGTGAGGTGCACTCTTAAGATTGTTAAAAAAGAATTAGATTTGAAGTACCCAAAAATTGATCTGGGAGCACTCTAACAATAAAAAAAAAGAAAAGAAAAAGAAAAAAAGAACAATCATACAATGATGGGTTCTCAATTAATTAAACTTGCTGATGAAATGGATTAATAGCCTCAATTTGTACGTTGTAGCCAAATAAGACTCATACATTTGTGTGGATTAGGTTTAGAATTTAAATATTGGGATTAGCATTTAAGAAAATTAATTTTCTTAGATGTTTTAAGTCAATATGTGAGGTGCACTCTTAAGATTGTTTGAGAAGAATTAGTAATTATTGTCTTGTAGATTAGGTTTAGAATTTAAATATTGGGATTAGCATTCAAGGAAATTAATTTTCTTAGATGCTTCAAGTCGATATTTGAGATGCACTCTTAAGATTATTCAAAAAAAATTAGTTTTGAGGTACCCAAAAATTGATCCAGGAGCACTCTAACAATAACTAATAAAAAAAAGGAACAATCATAAGATAATGGATTCTCAATTAGTTAAACGTGTTGATGAAATGGATTAGGAAAATGGTTGATATACATTTAATTCAATACTTTTTTTTTTTTACATATTTCCAATTCAATCATTAAAAGTATAATATAAATATAATTGATTTAGACGATTCTTGTACCCTGTATATCTATGATTATATCTTTAAATTTATTCACTTTTAATTTTAAACCAAAAAATAATAATTTTTTAATAAATATGTTATACAATATATTAAACCGAGCATTTATCCATCATTGTCTAATGGATTAATAGCCTCAATTTTTACATAGTAGCCAAATAAAACTCATACATTTGTGTGGACGTGCTTGTGCTTGTCCTAATTCTTTTTTCTTGCATTTATAAATTCAAAAAACTTATTTCAGTTAATTATCATTACGGCCTTCTCAATCATTGTCTAATTATTGAAAATGATAGGATTATAATATCATTTAGTATTATAAATTTATAATTATAATTTATATTATACGATTGATTGTTTTTATTAAAAAATTTCACTTATAATATTATACATATTTATATATTTAATAACATACTATAATTATAAATTTGTAATTACACGTGACATGCATATTACAACTATATTATTGCCATATAATTCTATATCATACCGTACAAATAAACCCCAACTGCAACCATGTATAAGGCCTGATATTAAAACTCAGAGGGGGAGGCTTTGCTCACTTTATTGACCATATCAATTTGATTCCTAAAATGATCGACTAGCCACATGAGTAGGTAATTTATTACATATTTTCTGCTTATTAACTTTAACATAATAACATTCATAACTTGCTTTGAATTTCGATCCAATCAGAGTGGTTGACATTGTACGTCACATTACATAAAATTGTAGGTTCAAGTCCTGCCCTACTTGAATTCATGTCTACCTATTAAGATTGATATTATTGTTGTGCCCTTTTAAATCAATAAAAAGTGTTGTGTGAATCTTATGTGTGGTTTGTGTGGTTATTGTACAGATATTTTATCTATATTATTGGGGTTCAAAACCCCTTATTCCTCATTTTTCCTCTCCTTCCCCCAATTCTTCTAGTACAAATAAATAAATAAATAAACAAAAGATGTTGTATAATTTAAATTATATCATATTATATAATTTTTATCATTAAATAAGAGGTGTTTTTCTTAGTTTGATAACTTTTATTTCATAGTCTAATGATTCTAAAAAAAAAGATATTGATACATATACTTTTAATTTAACACAATATACAATATATTTATAAAAAAATTATTATTTTTTAA